GGGTCACTGGGTGCTGAACCTGACATTGACCGATAACCCCTACTTTACTCTAGGCAAGCTAATAAAAAAGACAGACACAAATTCTGACCATTTAGCTCCTTCAGCATTACTTACAGCCAGGACAGATTTATAGCACCCAGGCTACGACAGAGGAGACTAAAGCCCATGTCATGGTGCGCATATCAATTTTACATTTCCTTTACATTTCCACATGTACAATGGGACCCTAAAAGACACCTAAGGCCAAAAATTTCTTTTCATTTTAGAGGACAACTGTTTATACACAGCATTAGCATCTGCTGTGGAACATTTATTGCTGTAATTGCTGTCCCAGGAGAACTGACTACGGTTAGGTCATGTTTTATAGCTTTCTACTAAAATAGACCTCTGGCCCAGCTTTAGATGTTTTGTTCTTTAAAACCTTTACAACAAGTGAAGGTACTTCACTAGTATGTGGAAATGCAGACTTTTTTAACATAGCCTTTCTTATACTGAACATTTTATAATAATTATTTTCACATGAAGAATGATGAAAATGATAGCATATTTGACTTGTCAGTGGTTCCCCCATTTCTCAAGTTTGAACAAAATAAATTTATCCAACATGAGACAAATTTGACCCCTGTCGATGTAAATCACCAACATTTATCACTGGAGATGATGCACAATACTGATTGTGTAGTTTGAACCAGAACACTGGATTATTTTAGATTTCTCTGCCCTATCCTTTCTGGAAATAACTTAAAATAGAACAGAATTTAGTCAGGGGTGGGGGGATCCCCCTACAGTGTTGTTTCTCGCATAGCCATTTAATGCTCTATCTAATTCAGCTAATGTGTATTATTACGTGTAATTTTTATGGCCAAATCACATGGACAATCAACATGAGAAGCAGAAATTTGCTCCTGCAGTCTTTTCTAATTGACCTTGACAGTTGATCGTAATTTTTAAGTCTTGACACATAGATCAGTGACAGCAATTAACAGAAAAAAGAATTTGTATTTCAGCAAAGGATGCTTGCCTAAATATGCAAGGGTCAGACCCTGTTCTCAAGACCTTTCAAGGGAATTTTGTTGGTGCTACTGAAACCATGACCAAACCTTTAGTCTGTTTTGGTGAAAGCAGGAGGATATGCTGCATTTCAGACATGACCATCATATAATAAATGAACGAAGGAACAACCTTAGTACCTTATTATAGTTATGAAAAACACAGAGGGGGAGGACCACAAATGTGCATGAGGACTGCGTGGCATTTCTCCAATGCTGTATTTTAAAAAGAGTTTGTTAAATAGTTTTGCTATACTTTCATCACTGGCAGTAGCATGGTTCTATGCTCCTGGGTTTAATGCCTGTATACTAAAGAGGTGCCAAGTATTAAACAGGTTGCTTTTGTTGTAACCATGATCTTCCATTGGGAGACCATAATTGCTAACAAGCAGAATAGGTCTGCAAGAATTCTTAATGGTGAGCACAGATTAAAATAACAACTGTGATTAGCTATAAACTGCTTGACTAGAAAAGGACTAATCCTGGGGAAATAAATTGCATGGCAAACAAATGAAAAACCCTATGTATAATATTACAGTAATGAAGGCTGTGAACAAACCCAAATGCTACCCCAGCTAAATACGGTCATGCTCTGCACAGGTATCTTTTTCTGGTCAGGGGCTTTGACTGAGAGGAGTTAAGGTCAAAGCAGACAGGTCTTGGGGATGAAACCCCTTTTTAACCCTTTCTGTAAGTTTCTGATAACAAAGTTGCCTCTGGTCTATGATGCTAACATGAGTTATAGACTGTATTTGCAATGAATTATCTTCCAAAGTTGTTGTTGTAGACCATGATCAGCAGGCAGAGATTGGCTTGGTTTGCTTTGGTTTGCTTTGGTTTGGTTTGCTTTGGTTTGTAAGAGCATGAGGCTTCCTTCTTCTTAGCTTATTGATCCACCTGTCTTGTCACACCATCTTGGCAATGGAAAAAGCCAGGAAAAAGGTGTTTTGTGCTATTAGTCACTAACACCTGTCTCTCATCTCTTTCTCAGTGTTTTGGTTTGTGGGAGGGTTTTTTGGGGTGGTGGTTGGTTTTGGGGGATTTTGGGTGTTTTTTTTTTCTTTTTTTTTTTTTTGGTTGTTGTTTGTTTGTTTGTTTTTCTATGTCTCTACAACACTGCTAGATATAGCAGTGGGTATAGATGATAAATTTGTAAAATCCATGAAAACACTGATGTGTTCCTTGCAGTTTCCTTAATGTTTGGAGGTTAGGCTGACTGAGGCAGAGCAGAACTGAATTTGGCAATTAAGGGTCATTTAGTCACCAGAGGTACTTACATGTTTCCAGCTAACATTATAAAATCATACATGTCTCTCTAAAGCTGAGGCTTCTGGTTTGTGGCTCCGAGTGTGAAAAAATTCACACAAAAATGTAGATTAAAAAAAATATGACAGAGTTCACAATACCGCTTCAGATACGCCTTTCTACCAAGGATTAGTATTTGAATATGTGCATTAGGATACCAATTAAAAATATATCTGATTTTTGGCCAAATATGCTTTTTTTTAGCTGAGTGTAGATTTGGATGGTTCAGTGAGCAGTGCAGATGTAGTTACAGGCCACAGAAAGCACCGCCATTGTATTATCTGTGAATGAAAACCACTCGATTCCCATGACTCCCTGGTACAATGCCTATCTCACATCACAGTTGTTAAAGATACTTTTTCATGACTGAACTGGGGGAGAGTAATGTGAATAACAAGTATATAGACAAGCAAGTGTTTTACTCTTTGCCTTATAAATAATATTTTTGATAGGATCACAGAAAAATAAGGAAGAATAATTTAAAGATTACAAATGAACCTTATGGATTACATAAATCCACTATGAATACTAAACTTGTAACCAAGGGAACTTTAGTTAGTGCTAGAACACTTGTTGCAGTTGCAGTAATAGCTGTGCATATTTAAGTGAGTATAATTTATCTCAGTGTTCAAATCCAGACTGATCACTGTCTTTTAAACAAATAAAAATAAATGCTTTACAGAAGTTTACACCTGTTCAAATTATTGTATCAGTTCTGCTAATTAGTCATATAAAATAACTGTCCTCAACTGATTAAAGTTGATAGTCATTTTATGTGCAACTCTATACCTGATCAGTAAGTAAATCTCAACAGTGAGTCCTGTTAGGGACTTAACTCTGATAGGGCATATTTTTGTGGAGTATTTACTAAGCTGACCTAAAACTAAGATCACTTTGATATACTGTGGCATATGAGAAATACGACCTGGGATGATTTTGGCATTATACATTCAAAACAAGTATTAATTTTAAAGAATATGACTCCCAGCCTATTTCCTTTAATTGGAGAAAAGTGCCCATCAGTGCTACACGAGTCAGGAGTGAAGTGTCAAGCCTCAGTTACTGAAATCGTTACATAAAGAATTTTGAACCATCTGAATAGCAAATAATTTTGATACAAGCAATTATCTCCATATCTATGCTAAACTACCCAGATTTTAAAACTGCAAGCAAAAGATGGGAAAGTGTTCTTTAAAAAGTAACTTCATATGGTCATGTTTATAAAATTAAATAAATTGACCAATGTTCAATTTAAAAATGTTAATAGCATTCTGTAATTAGGTAGGGATTGCGGTATTTTGCACAGATGTATGCCTGTCATAATAGTGAGAGTGCCAGAGCCATGAATTGATTTGTTTCTCCTAAATTAAAAAATAGAAGGCCTTGAGCAAAATATATTCTTTAGATATATTTGGTAGAATAAGGATCACAAATGTTCCCTACCAAGTTGAAAGGAAAAAAACTACAGCAGGGAAGTACGTGGAAGGTCTATTTGACATATGGATGTTTGTTAGAAGCTAAACGCATGAACAGCCCAGAGTAAATTAGATCCTCATTTGTATGCTGGGAAATGAAATGTATAATCCTGGCATGGTTCTCCGTTTGTTTTAGATTTTTTGTAAGAACAAACTCTTTTGTGTATGCAGATATACATATGACTGTAGTGGCTATTTAGGATTAGGAAAAAAAATGCTTTGAGATGATTTTATGTGAAGCTAAGTGCAAGTGGCAGGTTTTTTGTCTGTGTCTCCTGAAGTGCAGACTCGGGTTCAGGTAGCGGGCGCCGGGCACGCCGCGGCCGCACTGCACAACTGCTGCCTCGCTGCATGGGGGAAACCCGGGCTGACCCAAAAGGACCGGCCGTGTGGGGAAACGTCAGAGCACCTACTCATCTGAAACAGCACCCCCAGTTTTCAGATACGAAACCAAACAACAGATCAACATAACAATCTACAAGACATTAATATTCAGTGCTCTTGTTGGTGCTGAGAGAATTTACCTAGTCCTTTTCAAAAAATCGAATACTTCCAAGTGGAAACCGTCTGTAGTCTCTTAATTATTTGGTGTTGAATTTAGTTTTCCACTAATGTCTAGGCACAGCCATGCTTATTCACGTTGAATCATATTTCAGTCCTCAGATATTTACAATTACTTTATTGGAATTATTCACAGAAGAAAGAATAATCCCTATGAGTAACAGTGACATTGCCCTGAAGTCTTCTCTAAGACTGAACAACCGTATCTTTACACAGAGCCTCTGTTTCCTATTTGGCAGAGGAAAACCCATGGATTTCCATCAGGGCAACAAATGAGAATTTGGGCTCTTATAAAAACAGGATGTTGAAATGTATTATAGACATGAGTAGTGCACAGACACAGGCTGTGAGATGAGGTTTTGGATGGGGTGGTGGGTTTAAAGAAGGAGGAATGGAGAATTTATGAATTTGTTATTTTTAAAGGAATGGTACGTCACTGATCTGTTTCACTAATAAAGTCTACAAACAGGGCAGTGCTGACGGCAGATGTAGAAGAAGCCAGTGAGAAAATGTGTATGAAGTCATGCAAGTCGGGTTAGCACCTTTCCCTGTAAATCATTTTCACTCATGGAAGAGAAGTTAAATAATCAAGTTTAGCATTTCTATTTCATTCTGTAATGCTCAAGCATTTTTATTTTTTCTAAATTACATTAAAGCAAGACTTTAAGACCACAAGTGAGAACAGGGCCTCATTGTTCCACACAAAGTGAGAAATGGTTTTCATCTCCTCAGCCCCAAGGATGAAACAAGAAGTAACATAATTCCCTTTTTACAGAGAAAAATAGTTGTGAACATACTAAGTACTGGAGCTTGTACAAGAGGTCTGTGTTTAAGCCAGAGTTTTCCTGTGTTCCAGTTCAGTGTATCAATAATAAGGTTGTATTTCTCATGTTACAGTACTGTGCGTTGTCAGCCTGTTCACTCCAAACTGGGGGATGCAGTTCCCACATCACTGCTGGAATCTTTGAAGGGTTTGATGGCTTAAAGCAAGCTTGGTGACAATCTTACCAGGCTCTGTGACGGGAGAGCATCTTCTACAGTTCACAGGATGATGAGGCGTGGAAGAGAAGATCTGTCTTTGGAAGTGTCCTCTCCAACTCTTGTCCTTGGACCTTGTTGCTCTGCAGTATAAAAGCCCATGTAAATCATCTTCTCTGTCAGGGGATGAGTAGTAGCAAGGGGAGAAGGAGAGAAGAGCTCTACCCTGTTCTCTTGAGGCAGTTTATTTTAAAGTATATTAGTGTTGCTGTGCTGGTGCAATGATTTTTAATATAGAGAAAACCATGAATGTAGATACCTGTGTCATCTGGCTGGGCCTATTACAGGACAAATACCCCTCGAGTTAAAAGCAGGACACTTGTGCAACCAAAATACTGCTCTGACATCACCTCTTCCAGATATTTCGTGTTACGTGTGCACTGATCCTTTGCTGTCATCTTCCCATTTTCTGCTGTGACAGCCAGCGCCTCCTGCCAGGCTTTGAGCACACCCGGCAGCTGAAGGCCCTGATGTACGGGAGCGTATTTGCAGAAATCAGGCTTAGATCTATAGCTAAACCTTATCCAGGAGACTCACCTGATCTGTTTAGCTCTAACGCTGACTGTAATCAGGCTGGAAGAGCGTGGGGAGGGACTTCACAGCTGAGTTTCCTTTAATTCTGTAGGATTTGGCTGGCCTCCTGTTTACATACGTTGAAGGAGATCCAGGGTGTGCTTCTCATCAATTCTGCATGCTGTATGAAGCCCTTTTTATGCTAACAAATTATATTTTCCATTGCTTTATGTGTTAATAAAAGGGCATAATTATGTTTATAGCAACCTATATTCTGGGATATGGCCCATTCGCAGATTATGTTTTTTAATCAGGAGTAAAGTCCAACATACTCTCCTGAAGGGAAAATATAATGCATTTATAGCATAAACCTGTATAAACATTATTGTAATGGGTTCTACTAGGGACAATCTTTCAAAAATAAGGCAGCATTCATCAGATATTAAAGACTCAAGCATATTTTTTTCCTGCTTCAATCAGTATAGCTCAGGATCTGCAAACTCTTGATTATGCAGGTATTTCCCTGATATTTTCAAAAATGAGTAAAAGATTGCAAATACAGACCTCTTAGTTTTATTACCACTCGATTAGCTAATCAGAATCTAGAGAGTGTAACTTAAATAAGCAAAAAATAGAAAACCTAGATTAATCTCCAGTAAATGCTTAGCAGTAAGGAGATACCAGCTTTTGCAATATATTTAATTTGCTGTAATTTATGTAGCAGCTTTACAGATGGCAGAGGGATAAGCCTATCTGCTTCCACGTGCTGCCAGAATCTGCACAAGCTTGTACTGCCCTGGACTTGAGGAGGTCTGATGCTAGTTTGATGCTACCTCTCAAATTCTTCATGGTTCAGTTCCTGACAATACCGTAATAAATCCAATATTGTTTTTCATTCAGCAGACTCTTCGTCCTCTACCAGGCAAGTCGAGAGCCTCTTAAGCCCCTTTGAGAGCAACAAGTATGTACGGCGTGGTTCCTGTAAGGCTTCCTGTATTTTTATGGTCTTCCACTCTTCCTGGTTGAGGAAGAGAGATCAAACGCAAAGGAAGTACCTATCTTCCTGCAGAGCCTTGGTAGAGATCAGTCCAGAAACACAGATCAAAAGTTGTAGGCATTCACTCTCAATCCCTTTTCTTTCCTCTAGTAACACTGTTGTAAATGCTTGAAAAATGGCCAAATGCTGTCCTCCCAGTGACAGTAATGTCAGGATGTCTTTTTGCTTCTGTTCTGCAGTGTGGAAATGTGCGAATGGCAGCACTTGACTCTTTCTTCAGCCAATTCAGAAGGTACTCAGAAAGATGTAAAGTTCCACTGAGATCAAAAGAAAACTTTTACAGAATCTTTTCTAGGATGAATGTAGCCAGCAGCAGCAGGAGCTGACAGTAACAGATGTCAGCACAAGGCACCAACCAGGCTGTGAGTCTTCCTGTAGTCCTGCTTACCAGTCTGTACTGGGAGAAACCAACGTGGTTATTGGGGACCAGTTTGTTCTGGAACCTCTCCCTGAGTGACTGATCTGAGATTTTTTTCTGCCAGCACAGGGCGCTCAGTGACTGTCCCCATCAGCTACTGTTGTGCAGATTTTTGTGTAATAGCCTGGCCTGGCAGTTTTCCCAGATCTGTAGGCAATCCTCCCGATATTTGAATTAAAGTCCCCAGAAGGGCAGCGCTGCCTCAGGTCTCACTGCACAATGTCCTGTGTCAGGCTGAAAGAGCAACTGTTTCTATAAATGACGTCAGTACACGCGATTTCTACCCTACTCATGTTTAAAAGAGTTTTGGAACACTGCTAGTGTTAAGTGCTAGTAACCTTTTGGTAAAATATCTGAAAATCTAGTATTACATCACATAGCTTCAGTCATATGTAAGTAAATTAATCACTATTAAAAAGAGGACAACAAGTGAGTTAATAACTACATTTGTGGAGGTTTCTTCCCCCGATTTTTAAGTATGAAGTTTCTCCGTGAAGCACAGACCCTCTTGAAGATTACACAGTTATTTTGGTATTATTGATTACCATGCAAATCGGTTACTTCCAACCTGTCAGTGTACCTGCTCTTCCACAAGTATCTCCTGTTTGAAAGAGCTGCAGAATGCAACAGTAAGCAGAGGTAAATCACCTCCACATGTATGTTATGCCAGTTGAGAATAAGAAGTCAGTTTAAGAAGCATCTGTCCCTTCAACAGTAGCTTGAGGTCTCTCAGAAAATTACAAAATTCCTACACTGGGTAATTATTGCATTTGTCAGTACTGAGCTAATGCTATCATCCACTTCAGTGTTTTGAAGTATGAGCATTGCAATTTCAGTGTCATTCCAAAGCAATGGTAAGCAAAGTCATGAATTTTGTTTGAACACTAGTGTATTATCTTGTAAATGTCTATGCTAGATAAAATTGCACAAGCCTAGGGACAAGAAATAATTAATGATTTGGAACATGTACTTATTGCTGTGTATGAAACGGAGATACTATTAATCTTAAAGAGACATAGAAGAACAGTATCTCAGTTGTCAGGAACAGTACAGCTCCATGTGCACAAAAAATACTTTCAAGTTGTAATTACAGCTTTAAATTGTAGACAAATACTGGTTCTTTTTAATTCTAAATCACTTCTAGTTACAGAGTAGATGACCGATTCGTTTGCTCTTGATTCCAGTGGATGTAAGTTCAGGCCTGAAAATAATTAAAGAACCAGCAATAATTTTTTTCATTCCTCTAGTTCTGGCTAATCTAGCATATCTGGAATTTGGGAAAAGAGAATTGTGGAAAGATAGATGTGGTCTTTCAATGAAAGTTTTCTATGTAATAATTTACAGACCAATAGAAAGATCTGTTGACTACACTAGAATAGTATTTTAAGATCTGCAATACCACAGCTAGGAAGGGATCATCATTACGCTAGTGATTTTACTGCATCTTGAATACCAGTTGTAGTTCTGGTCCCCCACTTCAGGAAGGGTGCAACAGAACTGGAAAAGTTCAGCAGAAGGCAGAAGAGGGTAATCAGAAACACAAGGTGATTTTTATTTATGGAAGAACTAAGACTCCTGAATCTGAAAAAGCAGTCACTGAGGCAGGGGAATGACAGAGCTAAAAATGTGAGTAGCATGGAGGAGATCAAATTGACCACTGCTTCTTTCAATGCAAGAAATACAGAATATGGGATGAAACTAACAGGTGGCATACTGAAAAGCAAATGAAGACATTTTTCATGTAAGCAAGGTTGAGAGCCCCTGCAACAGGGTATCATCGATTTTAGAAGTGCACATGGGTTCAGCTGGAGACTGGACAAAGTCATGGAAGAAATCTAGTGAGATGTACTAAACGCAGCAAGGGCAACCTTGGCTCCGAGCTCCCAGGTGGCTGCAGAGCAGGAAAGTGTTTTATCTTTCCCTGGACATGTGCGTTTTGCCACTGAAGAGAAATGATACTGAGCTACACAGACCTTTTGGGCAGATCCAGTGCAGACAGTTTTATGTTACCCAAGTCTCAAAAACAATTTACTCTTTGCAGTTTCAACTACTAATTATGAAGGAATCTGGGTAGGTGATTTAGGTTGACCATGCAAGCAACAGACATTATAATGCAATTACATTTTATTGGCATGTTATTATTTCTATTTAAACAGAAAACTAACATCTTTTAAACTCAGTAATTAACATTAGCTCTTAGGAGAGTTGCTCAAGGTGTTCCCCTGCACAACAAAGCAATTAAACGTGACAGCAGATATTACTTCAGTACTATGTGACTGCTACAGGATCATCGTTTAAACGATGAAACCCTGGTTGAATGGAGAATAAGAATCCTTTTGGAGATCCCAAATTCTACTGGATTTGGAGACTCTGACCTTTTAGCTGCCCTTCCGCCTAGTTCCTTTCTCATGCTTCTTTGCAGCTTGCTTTCAGAGTCTTGTGGTATTTAAGAACAATGCTACATCATCTACTCTGATTCACAGCACAGTATTGGCTTTACACTTCACCCGGTTACAGTGAAGGGCTTTGACTATCCCAGGATTCTGGATCAGTCCTCAGAAAATTGAACCGTTGTGTCTCATCAGCAGAGACCAATGTGCCAGTGTTAAATGCTGTCCTGGAAAGGACATTTTAAGTTTGACAGATTCAAGTACTTTTGGACTGGAGAAAGGAATTCCCAACTGGGGAGAAAATTTGCATTAACAGACCTGGTTACCGGTTCATCCAATCCACCACAGTCATGTATTTGGCTGCAAAGACTGTTCTCTGCACCACCATAGGAAGAGAGATGTTCCCTCTACAAAATGCAGTGTCTTCAGCTACAGCCAATCTGTTAAGAAAATCTGAGCGTTATTTCTGGTGGTATATTTAATTCCAGTGATTTATACATTCGTGAGAGTGTATCGCTCCTCTTCTCAGAAACCTCCAAACCAAAAAATCCCCCAAACCTCCTGCCACCTTAATTTTTAAAGCTTTACTTTTCCAGTACTCCTTGTTGTCTCTGATTCTCAGATACAGCTCTACCCTTTAATTCTCATCTAAGCGTAATGAATCACTTTGCACCCTGTGATTCCTGCAGTCTCTTGAACTTGGACTGGGTACTCCAGTGTACCCGGTTATCTCTCCTTTGAATCACCTCAGGTTTTCTCACTTTGCTTCCAAGACCTCTCTCTCACACTTTCTCTATTCAAACCAGAAAATCCTGCCTGAGCTCTTGCCTGCTCTACACTTAGGTTCTCAAATGTATGCCGTCTGCAAATAACCTGATCGCACATCAGTGCGATCTATTGTAACTGGGCAAAATTTTTTATTTGCTATTTTTTGACTACCGGAAGACAAAGCTTTCAGCGATTCCTCGGAACCGTTTGTTCCACGAAACACGAGGTTCTAAAAGCGTGCCGTGCACGCCTGCGAAATCTCCGTCCACCCGAAGCCTTTTCCCGCCGAGGCCGCCCCCCCCCCCCGCTCCCCCAAACTGTACCCACTCGAGCTCAGTGCTTCACTGCGGGCCACGCAAAGCGAGGGCTTTCCTCCCGCCCCGCCGGAGGGGCTGAGCGGCCCCGACCCGCGCACACGGGCGGCCTGAGGGACGAAGCAGCGCCCGGCCGGACACCCCGTCCCCCGGGGGGGGCCCGGGGCAGCCCCGCCGCCGCAGACAATGGCCGCCCCCGCCTCTTCCCCCCCCCCCCCCCCACCGCCCCCGCCGCGGCGAGCCCCTGCTGCCGGCGCAGATTTGCCGGAGCCATTCAGTTGCGACCGATTGCGATCGCGGCAGATGGGCTGGATCTGACAGCCCCGTTCCTCCGCGGGGCCGGGGGCGGAGGGGCCCGGCCGCCGCGCTCCCCGCCCCGCCGAAAGTGCCACCCCGGGCGCCCGCCCGCCCTCCCCAGGCACATGTTACGGGTCCCGCGGCTGCGGCGGGAGCGGGAGGAGAAGCCGCCGCGGCGGAACAAAGCGGAAGAGGCGAGCGGCGGCGGGGCGGGCGGCCCGGGGGGCGGCAGCCGCTCTGCCGAGGCGGGGGGCGGCGGGGCGGGGGGGCTCGCCGGCCCGCCGGGACGCGCTGCCCCCGCCCGCCGCGGCATGCCCCACCGGCCAGCAGGTAAGGAGCCGGCCGCGCCTCCCCTCCCTCACCTACCCGCCCCGCCGCCGGCTCCGGTCTCCTCCCCTTCCCCGGCTCCGGCGGCGCCCGCCGCTCCCCCGCCCGGGGATCGCGGGGGCTGTGCGGGGCCGGGCGCGGCCCGCGGGAGGGGTGGGTGGGTGGGTGGGATGGGATATGGGGGGGGGGGGGGGAGGCGGCACCTGCCGCCGCTCCCCGCCGCCGGCCCGGCCTCCTCCTCCTCCCCGCCCCGCCGGCCGCGCAGCCCGGGGCGGCGGCGGCAGCGCCGGCCGCGGGAGCCGCGCCAGCCCGCGGCCGCGGAGCGGCTTCCCCGGGGCGGCCCCGCACCGCGCCTGTGCGCGCCCGGCCCTGCCCCGCCTCGGCCGGGGGCAAAGTGCCATGCGCTTTTTTTTTTTTTTTCCCCCCACCGCCTTTTTCTCCTCCCTGAGTCGCAGGAATCGGCGGTGTCTGCGTTTCAGCCCTGTTGCTTCAGAGGCAGCAGATGTTCTTCTTGTGCTGTGACTCTGTGAAGAGCAGCCTAAGGAACTTTAATTTCTTTATTTCTCATCCTGTTTCTTTCAAGATTGACCCCTCCACATTGCACAAATCACTGGAAGGAGATTGTGCTGATGGAAGAAGAACGTTAGGCAGAAAATAGATCTTTTTAAAATGAGTTCCTGTTAAAGTACACAAAGCAATAGGCTGTAAAGTAAATGCAGAGTGCTGAGGGACCTGCTGCTGTCCAGTGAGGCTTTTAGTTGTTGATTCTCTTGGTTTTAGGGGGGCGTTAGATCTGCTGTCCATCTTCCGAGGTGGGTTTACCCAGGAAATGGCTGAAGTAAGGTAGAATAAGCATGAGTGGGCCTTACAGTTTCCTGTAGGAAAAAAGCAGAACCACATAAATATCGTGTTGTTGCTAACTTTATACATTTGCAGTTCTTTTTTTTTCCATGTAAATGATACAAAACTTGCTCCCTAATTGAAATGGGTTATAAATGTCCACTGTGCATCTCTTAAAAATTGATATTCCGGAGGAACCCCTTGTTTATCATTGGAAAGCTAGCAAAGTTTTTAACAAGCGAAGTAACATTAAATAGACAAGTGATTTACATCTGAGGGATTGACTGTATACATTACTGGATTGCAGATAAGCTATGTAAGTAAACAGAAGCACAGTGCTCTGTTATTGTGCATGACTATGGAGATATCATGGGACTTTTTTGCTAGTTAATAGCATAAGGCTTCGTGGGAACTGTTTGATCTGCAGGACTTTTGCTTGGCAGTAGTTTACTTAAGGTTATTACACTCTGTTTGGAGACTCGTATTTGCTAGCCATTATTGCATTCTTAGCTCCAGGCTTCCCTGAGTTACAGGTTAGTAGGTCAATAAAAATTGCATTGAAGTACTGGAATGGGCAGGCTAGATTTTTAAATGTGGTTGGGGAATAACTAGGCAGTAATCAGAACGCTGAGGAATTTTTTTTCAGTGAATTTTGATGCTGGTCATTGGTAATGAACCAAAAATACTTCTTTTTTTGCCTTGAATACCACAAATGTTTTTCCATTTCTCCTTAAAAGAGGAAACAATTCATACAAGCTAAATGCAGTATTCCCTTTCAGGGTAATGTGACTGGAACTCTTATTTGAATATACCAAGACTTAGTTCCTCTCGCTAGTAAACACTAGGATTAATGCCACTGGCACTAGATGAGGTTGGCCAGTTGCAAGAATAAAGGCGTCATCAGTTCTCTGTTGCTGTGAATTTACAGGTTTCCTTTAAAACTTGAAATTTGCTGTGCTATGCAGGGAAGCAATATGAAAAACTACTTTATTAGATTGCCGTTGCATGAACAATAATAAAATTTTGAGTCATCCACGTAAAAGCGTTCCAGAACTTGTTGTCACCCAGTGGATTTCAGATGTGCGGAACAGAAGCTTGAGCCTGACTTTGTGCTGCCTCTGTCTGAAGCCGTGCTTGTTCCCGGGGTGGCTGCAGCGTGCGGTGTAATCCCCATTCTGCCAAATCCTTCAAACTGGTGATCGACTGTGTACATGGAGCAGTTCCATTCATGTCACAGAGTACAATTTACGCGGTTAAAGTGAGCCATATGGTGCGTCCCCCCCCCGGCGCAGTGGTGTGCTGATCGTTGAGGATGACTTGGAAGTTCAGTGCAGAGCTCTGATGCTCTGATAGAAAAATGAAAAAAGATCAGAACTTGAGGATGGTTTCGCCATGTCTTGTGTATTTCCTTCTCTCACTGAACATTGTGGATAGAAATGTTATATCCGCTAGCCCAGAAATATTATATGTTGTACTTTTTGGCTTTTTCAGTCTGGTCTCCTTGTACCTTAGTGTTTTCAGAGAGTTTCCTAGGAAAATTTTTCCCGCTTCAGCTTTTTCTCATCTGCATTTTTGCTGTTAATTGCACATAGCACACAGTTACAGGTTTTTCTTGTTGGAGTATAATTGGATGCTTTGTAGGTATTTGGTGTTGCCTTCTTTCTTCAGCAAAGCAGCTCCCTTTCTGTAACAGTTATTAATGGTTAACTTCTCTAATTCTGTGCTATGCAGGGTTAGTTACAACTGTTGTAGAGCATTACTGCTACACCACTGCTTGACTTGGCCAGATAAATCCCTGCACAGATAAGCTCTGCAGCATCAGCAGCCAGGTGTTTTGCATAAATCCACTTCTTACACTGATTAATTTTCCGTTTAAGACCCTGATTTTGCAACCAGTTAGACACCTGCTTAACCTTAGAGTCACGGCATTGAAATAGATAGGCTACGTTGTGTGTAAAGTTAAGCATGTGTGTAGTGGTTCGCAGGATTGAAGCTTGCAAAGACGTATTGTACAGAAAACCTCAAACCAACCCAAATCCCTTTTGCTTTGCTTCTTTTCTCAATTATATGGTAGGTAGCTGCTATTAGTTTATTTAGTTAAAATGTGATCACATAGTGTGATGAAACTGGCTTGGGACTGGTATTTAAGACGCAGGAATTGTGTTTCTGCTTTTGACTTATGTTTCCCTGGAGGTTTGAGGCCTCTTTTTCCATCTGAAACTGCACTGTGGTGAAGTTGAGGTTGTCAGAGTGCTAATGCAGATTTGCCACTGCTCAGAAATCAGATGATGAAAAGGCAATTTTAATAAAAATTCATGTAAAAACATCAACCAGAAGCCTGGTAGGTCTTGCATTTATGCTTCCATTCTGAAGAAGGTCTGGAGGGATTACTACAGCAAAATTCTGTTTATTGTTTCTAACTCTTTGATATTTATATCTCATTTACATTGTGTAATGGAAACTCCTAGGAATGACCAAAGAATTGATAGTATTAGGATATTAGATAATGGATACAGTCCCAAGGTGATGTGGATGGAATTTAAAAAAAATATATATTTTTTTTCTTGTTTAAAAATATATTCAAATGATTTAAACATAAAGGGAAAGACTGGGTGTTCTGCCAGCAAGACTCATATATGCAAAATTCTTCTAAAAGTCAGAGACCCTGGAGTTCTCTAGTTCTTTGAGAATTTATTTTTCTTCTATACTTGAAATGAAAATGGGAAGGTTTTTTTTCAGGAGAGAATCTTTAAAATACAGAAATTAATGGCTCATAAAGGAGAGTCAAGTACTTCTATCTCTTTTGCTGTGGTGTGTGCTCTGACAGTTCACGTCTGAAACATAAATTATTCTTCAGAATAATCAGAATGCAAGTAAGATCAGGAAGAAGAAACCAAGATGTGGAAAAAGAAGTTTGATACATCACAGAAACAAAGTTTTCAACACTGCTGTATGCTGTGAAAGAACAAAAAGAAACATTCTTCTTTCCCCCATCTCTCTTAGGATTTCTCTTAAATCTATGTGGTTCCGAGTATCTGAGCTAAACATTTACCAGTTGCTTTCCATGTAAATCTTTGTCCTGTCTTCCAGTAACTTTCCTTGCATTGTGTATAAATGCCTTTAAATAGACTCTTGGCTCCTGGTGGCCTGTGTTTTTTCTAAATAGACAATGCAGCTGCTCTCTCATTATGTTCACTCGAATCCTTTGGACTTTTCAGTTCTTCTTTGTGCCAAGGTTTTGCCCATGTTGTTGGTCTAAGCCACTACAGGAAGCCAAAATCCTTATCCCAATGTATATTTGATGATAATAAAGTTACTTGTGACTGAGTATACCACTTGCTTATTCTGAGTGGTTCTTTTTTTCTAAAGCTGTATGCTTTAAGCCTTTAGAAGGGTAATTTCAGGTTTCATTGCCATAGGTACAGTCATTTCTGTGGCAATAGATGTTGACCTTTACAGAACTTTTCTATTTCTTTCCCTTTTTCCTTCTTTGAACTAATTGCCCGTGTGCCTCTTCTCCATTACCACTGTGTATGTCTGCATTCCAGCATATGTTCCTAGTCTCAGGTATAAAAGCCAGCTTGCAGTTTGTAAAATGATGACCTCAGTGACTTACCACAACCTGAAGGGTAGCTGTGTCTTGGCTAAGAACATAGTGGTGTAAAATGTGGCAAGGGGAGAACGTAGGCCAAACCCAGTGCAGTAAATGCATCTTTCTGTTGAGTTTGGGAGAAGCCCAAAGCTACCAATGGAGCCAATACTCAACATTTAGTATGTCTTGACCTTCTTGACATCTGCAGTAAAGTTATTTCTGGTGGCTACCAAAAATGAGATTGGGTCATTGTTGATCATGTGTTGATGTTAATGGGAATCTGACGTGCCAATTTTAGAGTATATAAAAATATCTTTTCATGTAAATAGCGCATGTGGTAATACAGGCGACTGCTGGGAATGCTTCTGGTATGTAAGCTCTAGATGGGTATTAGTAGTTCATGAAGTAGGAACAATTTGCTGTATGTTTTACTGCAGGGTTCTCTCCCATGTAACATTGGCTTTACTACTACTGCTAGAGCTTGTATCTTGTGGATGAGTAAGTTAATATCAGTATCCAGTCATCGCTTTCAGTTACCTAATGTAAATGAATAATTACAGTACTGTAATATGTTGCTATGGTTTGATTTTTATTTTTTT